ACATGGTTGAATAACTTGAGACACAAAAATAGCACAAAGGAATTTCATGGGAGAAATATTTTTTAAACATAAAATTCAGACAGTTTTATATTCATATGCAAAAAATGAGTCTTTATCTTTACCTCACACATATATAAAAATTAATTCAGAATGTATCATAGACCATTATCTTTGTTAGGCAAATGTTTCTTAGGTAGAACACAAAAATCGTGAACCAAAATAAGAAAACAACCTATATATAAGACTTCATCAGAACCAAAAATGTTCACTAAAGTCTCAGAAGACACTATTCAGCAAACACTATTAAGAAAATTAAAAGAGAAGTCATGGAATGAGAGCAAATATTTATAAAATATGTATCTGACAGAGGGCTTATATTGGAATATGTGAAGTATTTTTACAACTTAATAAGTAGACAAACAACTCAATTAAAGAGGGCAAAAGAATTGAAAGGACATTTCACCAAAGAAGACATATGGATGAAAGATAAGCACATGCAAAGGCACTTGTCATCATTTTTTCTTAGGGAAAATGCAAATATCAACTACAGTGAGGTAACACTCACCACTCACTATAATATATATCACTGATTGGTGCACTCCTGGTTATTTACCCAAGAGCAAATCTGATCTCTAGGCTGGAAGGTTGTTCATTAAGGAAGTACTGAAAACTTGCTTTGTGAAGATCATCCTCATTGCAATGGCTATTCTGAGTCAGGACAATGGATTTGAATTATTGGATATTACTGGGAGTAGCAAAATGTCAGCATTCCTCCTGGGTAAGCTTACCAAAAGTACAAATTCTGATTCAGTAGTTTTGGGCTGGGAAGCAGTAGTCTACATTTTAATATTGGTGGCCTTGATAACATCCTGAATAAAGAAGTTAAAGGCAAGTAAATCAATCACTAAGGAGACTATGGAAAATATCTACATGGAATGTTGAAAGGATCTTACCTGGGACTAGCTGTGGAAATATAAAGTACGGGCCAATCTTTGAAATTACTGAAATAAGTATAACTAGAAGCAGCCAAAGACTAATTCAGAAGATAAGTATTGCTGAAGGTGATCCAGACCTTTGGACTCTGAGTTACTAAATAGTAATTACACCACTCAGATGGAAGACCCGAGGAAACACATTTATTTAAAAAACTTGAGACCAGGCTGTGGTGTCTAAAGTCAAAAGACTTTCAAGGTGGAAATAGGTGGCAGTGCTTGTTCAGGAGATGGGCAGAGATGGGTTTTAGAGACTGAAGCATGAAGATGGTAGCTGAAGCTGTAGAGGAATGTGCTACATCACCAGTGGAAAAAATGCTTTCAAGAGATTTAAAGTTCCTTTGGATCCATTTAACGTATTTTGAATGAGCAGGGGGTGATGAGTCTACAAAGGAAACTGAAAAGATCAGTCAAGAAAGAATAACATAAATAGAAGAGTACACTTCATTGCTTACAAGGAACCACCGTAAAGGTTTCACAGGTAGGCAATGTGATTTTGTACAAACTGGGGATAAATAGTTATGATGTCAGGTAATTCTCCTGAAAGTTTGGAGTTCTTTCCTTTAGGGAATGTTGAATACACATCAATGCACTAATGACAGAGTATTTCAAATAATTGAAATATATCAAATTTAAAAATAGCTAAACTTATTGTCATGGTCATTTTGCAGTATACAAATCCTGAATCATTATGTCGTACACCTGAAACTAATATAATGTTGTATGCAAATTGTACCTCAAAACTAATTAAATGGTTACAGACAGGGACCATGCAACTGATAAAAATGAGTGGGTACAAAACAATAGGTAGTAGTGGTGTCTGAAAAAATGAACAGGATTCTTTCTTGCCATATACATGGCTACTAAAACAATAACCACTGGTTATGTCACTGGCTGCTTCTGTTTTGCAGGTGGTATTAGGAATTGCTTTGAACTTTTTCACTGAAAAATGAAGATTTGAGAAACAATGGGGCTTTTCTTAATTTGTTGAGATCTCTAGTTAAAAAGGCTGGTTTTAAATAAACATATTCCTAACTATTCCTCTGCCATTAATATTCACAAACCTAGGAAATCTATTCCCAAGAGAAGGAATTTTTTGTAGTCTTATACTTGTAGATAATTCTGTGTGTTACTTTGAAGAATACTTCCATGAGAATATGAATTGGAAAAATGTCAGTAAAACAAAAAACATTTCATTTTTATAGTAACATTTATTTTTCCTTTTCAAATATCATACAAATGAAGTAGACCTGCCTTGGGTTCAGAGTTTGTTTTCTACTGTATTATTAAATTAATATTTTAAATGAACTATTTTGCCTACCCTTATGATAACATTTAGATTGCCTAACTTCTTTCATTTAATGTAGTGTGAGCTGAGTCAGAAGAGGAAAAATGTTTTCAGAACTCTGATAGGCAACTCAGAGACATGATCACATTCTCCCCATGACTTGTAACTTCCCTAGTACTATCTCAGTTGCAGGAACAGCAGGATACAGATGTATTGGGATTGAATGATTACATTAATCTCTTTGAGCTGATTTATTTAGACTTTTAACATCAGGGCCTACATTGGTCTACATTTACTAAATAGTGCTGGTCAAGAAAACTTAGAGAACACATGGGTATTTCAAGGAATATTAGACTATTGTCTAACTAAATGTAATTCAATGCAAAGGATTTTAGTGATCCAGAGAGTTTTCAAGAAGTCAGAAAAAATTTTCAGTATAAACATAATGTGAAAGAGCAGCTATTACTGTGTTTGTAAAGATTTTTTGTGTTATTTAGAGCTATCCCCAAAAAACTTCAGGTCATAAAACTGCAAGATTCTACTGTATTATCTCCCATGTCTTTGGTGATAAATCAACCAAATGAGATAAATGAGATCTGAATAAATGTGGATATACTGTGTGGGCATATAAGGGAAGAAAATGATGGCATTTATAAGAAATGTAGATTGCACTGGGTATGAATAGATATGCAGTTCCACAGTAATTACATGAGTGTTGTGGAGACTGGAGTTGTAGTAGCAGGAATTTACAGTGGATTAGCTCTAAAAATAAATCAAAATAATTTATTGAAACTATCAATAGAGACATAGTTTAGTTAAGTTGAATGGAAGCAAAGTCACTTTTTTAGTATTTAAATTCACATTGGTGGACACATCCATCTTTATATAGATGGACACATCTATCTATATAAAAATTACATAAATGACATCTTTCTCCATTTTGCTATAGCTATACTGACTTGTCTGAAGTACTGTCTAACCAACTTTTCCATCAATATTGTTTATATCTTCCATTCTCATTTTAACTCTTAATTGTGAATACCAGTTAATACATTTTTGCTCCTTTTCTGTATAAGCTGCCTTATTTTGTTTTCCTGATTACCAAAATATATTCCCACATGTTATTCTTGTATATACTTCTTTTCCCATATTTCTTATCTATTTATCATATTGTCTTCAATATGATTAATATATTAAAAGTGTTTAAAACGTCCAGTGAAGATAGTTACATAGCAATTGTGGACATGATTAATTATAAGAGCTGATAGATGTTCAAAACACTTGGGAACTTGGAGTTAGGGAACAAGGGGAAGGACAGAAGCATCTAAGTTGATGGTGGCTGGTAGGTGGTGTGGGAACGGGCAAAAGCTATTCAATTTGTTGGAAAAGGATCTCTGTTCCATTTGTGCTGCGAATGAGCAGTCTGCTCTAGGAAAGTCACCCAACCTTTCTTAGTTTCTTTATCTGGTTAATGAAGAGGTCTAATTTTGAGGTCCCTTCCAGCCCTAGAATTTCATGATCTATTGCAAAGACTATATGATCTCTGCAGTTGTGACATACATAACCTTATTAAGCACTTGTTTTGCATGTGGCTTGACTGGTTTATTTCAGATGCTGACAATACAGGGAAATTTAGAGACAATGTAATAACCATTAGTTAGCTATGGCATTGTTGACTGCCTATTGGGAATGCACCAATGATTACCCTGAGTTAAAGCAATAGTCAGTATTATATCCAAGAATGTCTTATCAAATGATGATGATAGAAACTACTATTCAAAATAATGTTATGTGTTAGAAGTTAAAGGGCCTCTTCCTAACAGATTACAAAGTATGACTTATTAACAATATAGGTCAATGCTTGAGTTACTTTTCTACTCTTTGAACAGATTTTTAGACCATGTGCATGTTAATATAGACCACATGCATGTTCTGTGATAGAAATTCAATTACTGCACCCTACAGTATATTACAGGGTGAAACTTTTACATATTTAATCAGGACATCACAAAGTACAGCTTTAAAATTCTTTATTATTGGGAAGCCATAATTACTAGAGTTCTTACTAGGTATTTATCACCAGCTTGTAAAATCCACCACGGCAAGTTTCACAGCAACCTTGTTAACACTGAACATTATTGAACCATTTGGTGGAGACAATTTAGGGGTGATAATAAGGAATAAAAACCAAATGTTTTCATGGAAAGACTGCCTGTATCATCTCCACTGTTGAAATCTGTCCATGATGCTAAAAAGGAAAAAGGTCTCCTGTTTCTTATTTTTTAGAAAGATATTCTTTCATTAGACTTTAACTCTGCTTAAAATATAGAACATACCTAGTCCAGTCACATTTTCTTTTAAGGTGTATTTGGAATTGCTTAAAAGGCACAGCAAGTGTTCAGATGATTATCTCCAGTGAAATTTATCTCCAAAGGCAAGATTTGGAGCTGAAAGAGAGGGGACTGAGGAGACAAATGGTGTTTATGGTATACACAGAATCTCAGCACTAACTTTTATAACAGGGGAACTCAAGGCCTTGGCAGCAACCCCAAACCGAACTATTTCCCATCTATTGGTATGAATCATTTTATCTTCTGTTGCCTGTACTTTTTTCCTCCATCCACACAACCTAAGTGCCAAAAGTCTACAATTGATCTTTTCATAGCTCTCTGCTGAGATGCCTACCACAGTGTTTCTAATCCTCATCAATTTCTTTCCAGACAGAGCTTTTTGTACATGCCTTCAAGGATCAGCTAGTCAGAAGTGCTCTTTTAGCACTCTACACTGCCAGGCCAGGGGGTGTCCTCAAGAAACTACCCTCTCCTAAGAACAGCACAGAGGAGAACCATTCTCAGCACCCGCCCCTGGCCATGAGAAGGCAAGACTCTATTCCACATCACTCAGACTACGACGAGGAAGAGTGGGTAAGTGCGCTGCATGCCACGTGCCTCTTGATGTGTAGTCCTGAGAAGTAAAGCAAGAATGATAAGAAATCCTTGCTTTTCATCAAAACAGATAGGAAACAGCCATAATATAGATGGTGAATAAATAGGTCACAGTTTTCCTTGGAGGCAAATTATACATGAAAATTTTATTCCTGTTCACATTTAAAACTTATTTATGCTATTACATAAATCATATAATCACATTAAAAACTTATTTGCTATCAAATAAATCATATCATCTATCTATCCATATCAATCTAGATCTGTCTTTCTAACCAAGAATATATCATTAAAGATGCCACAATTGCAAGACTCTATAATACCTATTCTTACTTATAACCAAGGTGATATAAACCATTAAAATTTAGCCAAGAAAATAGTGTCTAACTGTATTAGATGCTAAACAATTAATGATTACTTTTCCTGCCACCCTAGAATTTTAAAGTATTTGAAGAGTAAATGATTTGAAAGGACCAGATCTGTCAAAAAAAATATTGCCATCTGACGGGCTGTGGAGGGATGCCTGCTCTTACTTTGGTACAGTTTCTGTCATAGGAGGGACAGAGCTGGGCTCTCAGAGGGAAATGCTGAGTGAGTAATTGTTGCTGCTGCTGCTGAAGATTGCATTTCTCCTCAGGAAGCATTGTCAAAGGAGCAAATCTAATATTTCTCCTTTGTACCCTCACTTTCTTCTTAAGTTTATTCACAGCTCCAAGGTTTTCTGTACCTCTTGACCTCTATGAAGTTCAATTTTCTCAACTGTGAAGTGAACATAACAGTACCTGTTCTGCTTAATTCTTAGGGTGGCCATGAGATCGACAGTGTATCTGGGTGCCAATGTCCCTTCACCAGGGCAGGCCTAGGCAAATGCATTCTATTAGTCTAGGAACATTCTCATAGGTTTTGTTTTTTAAGATATGTAAGTTATAGAATCTTAGTATGAGTATCTGTACTATCCCTTGAGATAAATGGGGAGACTGAATCTATAGTAAAATGAGTACTGTGAATTTTAAAGAATCTAGGTAGGTATAGAAAAGAACTTGTAGCTCATTTAATTAAATATACAGTGTTAACCTTTTGACAAATTATTACCATTTAATTTTTATACTAAATCAAGTTAGAAATTTGGAATTGGTTATCTTTTATTTTTATAATTTTCACTTCGCTGTATCATACACACACTCTCCCACAGCTCACCTTCCCCCTGCTGCTCAAAAGTGTCCCTCTCCACTGGGGAGGATGGGTGGGAAGGGAAGGTTAATGGGGAAAAAGGGGCATTATGATTAGCACACACAATGTGTGAGGGGGGACACGGGGAATGCAGTGTAACACAGAGAAGACAGGTAGTGATTCTACAGCATCTTACTACGCTGATGGGCAGTGACTGTAATGGGGTATGTGGTGGGGACTTGACAATAGGAGGAGTCTAATAGGGGGAGTCTAGTAACTATAATGTTCATGTAATTATACATTAATGATAGCACAATAAAAAAATAATAAAAATTAAAATTAAAAAAGTAAAAAAAAAAGTGTCCCTCTCCTTCCCTCGCTCCTTATTTTCTTTAGATAATTTTTGAGAACTTGTATATCATAGGTGCTCCAAATGGGAAGGTGAGGAACATTAGATCTTTAGGTCCTAGAGCTCAGAGTCTAATGGTAGATAAAAACATGTTAACAAATACTTGCAAAATGTTGTGACAAAGTTTGTAGAGATACAGGTAGTGAAGATAGGCTTTGCTCATATGACTTCAAGTCAAAATTTTACATACAAAACCTTGTGATGAAGGCAAAAGAAGGAACAGAGCAGGAAGTGTGTGGCTTGTTGGAGAGGCTTACAGTGGACCATTCAGTCCAGTGTGTGCTCCTAGCATCCAGAGGCTTCCAGGACTCTGCAGCCTGTTTAGGGCTCTAAAAGGACAAATGCTGCCAATTAAAAAAAATGAGGACGAATTTCAGTCCCTGTGAAGGGACAAAGCTGCAGTAAGAGCCTGCAAGGTTGCTGGTGCCCCTTGGCCATTCTCCTAGGAATACTTTGGTAGTGTTGATACTAGGTAAAAGGATCCCTGATTTTTAATTCCAGCTGGTGACAGTGGTATCGTCTCAGTTTCTCAGGATGCTTTTCTTTCCCTTAAAGAGAAAAAGGATAGGGTAGTAATGAAGAACTGCATCTCCCTCTTTATCTCCTCCCATATGATTTCTGAATTTCCTCCAGAGCTCACCGCTTCTAGAAAGCATGTAAACACTATATCTGAATTTACCACAATTACAAAGAAATTCTTTCCCACTCAGAAAAGTTACTTCTAACTCTCCCTTCCCAATATAAATTTATTCTATTTGCAAACAATAAGTTTGTTATATAAGTGCATTCTTCAGTATTTTTCTTAGCAACTACTTTCTTTTAAAAAGATCACTTTGCCAAGAGATGGAAATCCCTTATTAAAAAAAAGAAAAAATATTTCCCCAAAGTTATAACCATTTAATGTTATTTTCAAAGCTTTATCTAAGTTAGGAAAGTTGAGTAAATCCAAGGAAAATGTAGATAATTAAAAATGCCTTTAGAGACTATGCTACTAAATGAATTGGAAACAACTTTGTGTAGTACTTTTCTTAGTTAATTAAGTGTTAGAAAAGTTTCAGCACTGATTACAAAACTAGTCAACTTCCTGAAATAATTTAATGCTTTAAATTAATTTAATTGGGTTCCTGTGATAACATATGAAAATATTCTCTGATCACATAGGTTGGTTTATTTAGGTTTGCGCATAAGATTATAGTTGCTCTATTTTAAACAATCTATTTTATTTAATTTCTTAGGACACTAGTATTTCTAATGACAGCTTAAACAACTGACTTTAACTTCTTATAATAAATATTTGGAGAGTAAATATATGTTAGTAAATTATTCTTGAATTATTCTTCGCTGTTTCATGTAAAAACCTTTCTTTTTGGGGTCAGTAAAGAGAATTTCAATTAATCCTGTATCAGTGTGAAGCTGTTCTCTTTTCAACATGTTTTGTTGGCAAAATTGATGATGTACAAATCTGGATAATAACTAAGTTGAAATTTTAAAAAGTCTGTTATTTGCTGAATATAACTTATTAAATGATTGAGTGCCTTAAATGTTTATTTTCCTGAAAAGTTACCAAACAATTAAACCCCAAAGAAATATTGGTATTTTATGACAATCTGTGCAGAGAAATGGACTAATATAACATTCTTCATCTTTAGTTGGTAAAGATGACATACTGCTTTTCTTTCTCTGTTTCTCTGTAACAGATGCTTCCAGCAGCTGGGATTCCAAGATTAAGTTTATCCAAATATGAAAGCATGTCATCCAACTAAAGAATTAAGTTGACCCAGTTTTTGTAGCTTCCAGTAATTATACTGTTCTCCAGAACACTGTAATTTTACTACGATGGGCTTTGGGCTAAATCTGCCTACCCTCATTCAAAATAATTTTTTAAAAAGAAAAACTTCTGATTCTTTATATTCTAATCCAGTCCAGTAGAGTGCTGAACTTTTTTTTATTTATCTGTATTGTAAACTCATTTATTTTAGTTGAACTACATTTCTATATCAGGCAACACTTCAGCATCCAAATTACTCAGTTATTTCTCTTCTTCATGTTGTAAATATAAATCAAGTTATAATTTTAGCTTCCATTCTTAAGCTGGGAGAATATTTGCTATGCCCTCTTATGATAAAATGTGTTTATGTCACAGAAGCTCAATAGGTGGTCCACATTAATCCATAATAATTTTTAAATAATTTTATAGAATGTAGAAACAACAGCACGAATTCATAATAATATTTATATCAGGCATCCTGCTAATAAAGTCCATATATAACCTGAAAAAAATTGTGTTTTCTCTATAAGTCAATATTCCACAAGATTGTGTTCTGGGATAAGATTTACATGAACCATGTTCTGATACATTCTTACCAATATTTCACAGTTCATTTGTATTACACCTTTCTCTAATGATGTCAAGAACAAATAAGAATGCTTAGCTTGATGGGATTATTGGTAGAGCTATTTATGTTGCCATAATTGTAGCTATGAACATAGAGTTGCAAAATATTGCTAACTGTTGAAGACAAAAGATGTTTAACCAGATATTTCCACAGGCTGTCTGCAGTGATCTTTACTGTCAACCTTTTTTCCCAGCTTCTGTCTCCATCTTAGACCTTACCTCTAAGGAAAATAGTTCAGGCCAGGCATAATGCAGAGGTACTTATGCAAATTGATACTCAAAAGAGGTTTTGTTCCATTCTTTGACTGGCTAGAATTATGCTACATGAAACCATTGATCTTAAGAAGAAAAAAATAAATCATTCTTATTCATTAGAGGCCGTTCTTACAGACAACTAGACACTAACCTGTGATTTAACTTTCCTAAAGCAACAACTTACTACTTAGTTAGCTAAATGAGTAAAATGTCCTCTAAATATGGCCATTTATTTCCAAACTTCATGTTATAGACATATGGATAGATAATGTATATATAAATGTATATGTGCATTCAATTCCAAAATATTTTGTATAATAAAGCATTGTTCTTGCATCCCATGATCATACAGCCTCATGAATACTGAATTATAATCATTTGTTTATATGTCTGTTTCTTCCATGTGTTCATGAACTTGACAAGCACCTGAAGGGCAAATACAGTGTCATACTCACTGTTGTATTCCCAGCTCTCAGAGCGTTTGCACATAAAAGGTACTCAATACTCATTTGTAGAATAAATTAATGGCTTTGAGATTTGCCCTCAAATTATTGATTACCTTCTTACGCTGGAACAAGAAATATTTAAAGTCAATATAACTCTATACTATATTATATACTTTTTCTCCTACTAGAATTCATGAATTCTTTTGAGAATCTTGTTTTTCTCTTTTGGTCCAAAGGGCCCAGTTTTATTCCTCTCTCTTTAGTACATATTTTGTAGTGTCATAATCAATTCTGAGGTGACTATTCAAGTCATATTCCAAATATCTCCAAACATAGAAAGTGTTTTACTATTCAAGATGGACAGACATCAGAAATGACTAAGTACATGATGAATTAAGGCCTCCAGAAGCTTCTAGAAACCCAGTAGTAGCAATTTATTTGATTATTCATGTTCCTATTACAAAGGTCTTAGTTACAGAAACAATTTTAGATATTTCCCAGCAAATATGAATCAAAATTAACATTTTCTTGCTGTCCCAGCTTTTTTTTTTCATCCCTGAGTCACACATAATAGGGCTGTCTGGTTTTGTTAATCTTATGAGGAGAGGGCATTGAAAGTATCCACTCTCCCCATTTGAAAGGGCAGGCAAAGACAGGGAGAATTAGGCCAGTGGTTCCCTCTATGGTAACTGAATGTGTTCTATCATCTATCTGTTTTCTTGACGGATGGGAAACATTCCTGAACTTCTCCAATCCATTTCACCTAGGAGAAATGTGCTATGAATACTTATGTAATATTAAAGACCACAAAAGGTGATAAAGCAAAGTTCATGACTGGCCATTAAAGTGCACAAATGTTCTATTAAATAAAAGAAACCCAAATGAGATCTTTATGTGCATGCATATTCATGAAATCCTGCCTATTTCTAGATTTTCCCACATTCAGTTAATACAATTCACCTTCATCTCACTTTACAGGATCTAACACAGTATTTTATACATACTAATTCAATGTATTTTTCAGACTTAATGTAGGGATAAGTGGAATGGATGGATTTGCCGAATCAGCAGTTCATCCTGTAACACAAACCAATGTTTTTAAGAGAAATATTTTATTTTTTTTAACATAATCATGATTTCCTTATGGTTTTATACTTCACTGACTCTTACCAATGCTTGGTTCAATGTCAGATATCTTGATGTGCCTATGTATAATGAATATGCAAATTTTCACACACACATGTTAGAGATTATTATATTCACATCAAGTGCCCTTAAACTTTAATACAGTCTAATGTGAATAGTGAGATCAGTTTCTAAAAAGAAATTTTTGAATCCCTAAAATTTAATACGTAGTTGAAAGAAATGCTGATATATATACAGACTACTGACTTGGTATATATCAGGGTACATTCAGTTAAAAATAAGTTTCAATCCTGGAAATTGGTTGTATGCAGCACATTAACTGATAGTGTCATGTCATTTGACCAGTTGTGCAACTATCTAATCGTGTTATATCCAATTACTAATTTATAATTAAAAGCTTTAGTTAATCAGTTGACTTTATTATTTGCTATTAAGTAAATGTTTTATTTAACATTTTCACTGACTTGAAAGCTTTAACATGGTGTGTTATTTGTAAGGGTAAACTCAGCCTTTCAGAGTATAAGCTTAGTTCTAGCTATACTTTGAACATGCATGTGAAAATGCTTCTTATAGTTGCCTCTTAATTTCCTTTTACTCCTAAGTAGCAGGTTATTGAGTCAATCAATAGATGCTAATTAAGCATCAATAGTGTGTAGAAATACTATAGGTACTTGGGGGAAAATAAATATAAAAAAATATGGATTCTGGCCTTAACAGCCATATCATCTAATTTAGGTGAATGTCCAACATTAATGAAAAAAGAAGAGAGATTGAAAGATATTCCAGGAATGGGGGTGGTTGTATGATACACTGAAAATGTTGAAAAGATTCAGAGAGAAGTTATGTTGAAGCTGGAGAAAATGAAAAAAAAATCCCTTCCTTCTTTCATCCATCCATTCATTCATTCATTCTTTTATTTATCGCTTACCTGATGAATATTACAACCTGAGAATAAAAGGATCAATTAATAGTCATTTCCCTCATAGAGCCTCTGTCTATAGTAAGAAAAATATGTAACAGAGGAGCATGAACAGTTCTTGAAGATAGTAAGCCTTGAGAGTGAGCAGGGAGAAGGCATTCTAAGCATAAAAAGCAGTATGTGTCAAGACAGGAATATTATTCCTCCAAGGTCTCCTTCATGACTTTGATGTTCAGCAGCACTGAGCTAGCATGTGGCAGATGCCCAGAAAATACAGAGAGAGCTCATTAACAGCATGTTTCTGCGACAGCAAGGGGACTGACCTGGAGAAAGTTTCCATTTTGAAGACCAGCAAGAACTAAGGAGAATTATCTAGACCAACCCAACTTCAGAGGTGTCTTTAGGCTGAGAGAAAAATGAATACTTGCTGCAGTACTAAGCCTGCTTTTGATCAGAGGAATGAAGATATGAGCATGGTGATAATGATGCCTGTGGCACTAGTGCTTAGAACCGATTATGTAATGGATAATAGTATGGGTTGGGGCAAGGTCCAAACCAGGGGGCTATGGAGATGTCAGTACTGGAAACAGTGGCTATCTGACTCCACTTGTGTGACCAGGGACTCAATTTCAAGGCGGGGACAGCAGTGTGGTTATTGGGAAACGAGGTAAGGAATTTTTACATGAGTAAGTAGGAAGGAAGAAGGTTAATCAATAGAAAGCATAGATTGGGAAATCTCACTTAATTCTAATGAACATCACATGTTTTTAGTGGGCATAATGTGTGTGTATTTAGATGTATGTGTGCAGGTGTTTGTAATTACATAGCTTGAGCCAGACAAGTGCTAGTTTGTGCCATGCAGTGTTTTCAGTGGAAGCTCATTAACCTAGCAGCCTGGGTATAGTTAGGATAGCACAGAGGTCAGAGCTATCAACTATTGAAAAAACAAAGGTTTGCAGTGTTGAGGAACTAGGCCAGTATTGGGCAAATTGCTCCCATTCAGCAAAGAAAAACTGAACCTCTTTTTTAAAGATGCTATTGGCCTTGTTCATTCACTGGTTGGTTTGGTTCTAATTAAATCCCTCAAAAAATTGGTAGTGACAAGTGGGAAATTGTGTGTGGAGACAGAGATACAACAGGGCTTCTTGGTACCCCCATATCAACTCTGGTTGAGTCTTCACATCTTTGCTGACCAAATATTGGCCCTGGAAAAAGTTGATCAGCTAAGCATTGCTCAACCTCTTTGTTGTTTTTTCTTTTGTAACTAAATTAACTGCTGATCCAAATCAGTCAGGATTCCTGTCGATGTTACCAAGCTCATAAATTTGTGGCACACTGAACAAACACCATTTTCCCTCCCTTCATGGCTCACTCGACCAGGTATAAAGTCTCCCTGGATACTCACTGCTACAGCCATAAAATCTGTACATCTGTTGCCACTGGACTTGACCTGCATGTTAGCTGAAGTCCTCACCCGGAAATAAATGACCAAGATCAGCACCTGGCTCCAGTAAGGTCAAGGACACTAATTAGGCTCCATTCAATAAAGGTTAGACTGTAACCCATCAATTTTCAATTACTTACGTGATTCAGTTGGACACATAGCAGGATAATGCCTGCTATTTCTGGAGGCGGAAAGGTTCAGCAATCTGTTTTTTCTGATAGACTGCTGTATTTTGTTTTGTTTGTTTTCTAAACCTCTCATCTGCTGAGGAATGAAACAGGATCTGGAATAGTATCCCTGGTCTGAGAAGGTGAAACACGGGAAGTACTGTGTTCTGCAGCCACATTTGTACACTTCCATTGTCCTCTGTCCCCTAACCAGCTTCTCTTCACGGGAGCTGTCTGAAACAAATTGTGTGATTTTAGTAGAAAGGAGAGTAGGCCCCAAATATACCGGTGATCCAAGCAAAAAGAAATGTCCACATGGACTAGCCTTGTGAATAAAAAGCATTAGAATCAGAATGTATTTTTGCTGGTTATTTTCCTCTGTGTGCATGTTTTCACAGAGATATTAGAGAAAGTGGCTTTTTTAGGCAAGAAATCAAGATTCCCCTTTAAGAATTTTGCCTACCCATGTTTAGCTTCCTAGTTCTGAAATAATTATCTCACTAGGATTAATAACTAATAATTGTGTCCTAGGAATTTAATTGTCATCATTCCTCTCTCATAGCTTACTACCTATTTTATATCCTAGTCACATGAATTAATTTGTGGCCTTGATGCTGACACTTTTCTTTATTCATGTTGGCTTCTATGTCCTTAGAGCCAGCTAATCGATCCTTTAGCTAAGTGATGCCTGTAATTTCAGATTTCAGGGTGGCCAGTCTTCCCTGTTAGTAGGGTCATCTCTTAGTGCAGGATCTGACCCTGAGCTTACTTTCAATTCTTGGATGACTGAAACCTAATTTTGCTCCTTTACAAGACATAATCTGAAGACCACACTTTAAGAACTTCTAGTACCTAGAATTATCAAATTCATAGAGACCCAAAGTAAAGTGATGGTTGCCAGGGGCTGGGGGCAGAAGAGTGGGGAGCTCATGGTCAAGGATACAAAGTCTCAGTTTAGGAAAATGAAAAGTTCTGGAGATGGATGGTGATATTGTACAACAATGTGAACGTATTTAGTTCCGCCTCCACTATACACTTAAAAATGATGAAAATGTTAAATTTCATGTTATGTATACATTATCACAATAAAAAGGAAAACAAGAATTTATAATGCAGGTGGTGTCTATTCTCTAAAAAATATTGTGTATCTTTTCTTATTAAGTGTTGGTAAAGAAAAGAGATATCTCCAGTTCAAAATGTCATAATTCGTGCTCAATTATGGTTTATACTGTATAGTAGTTATCATTGCTTTATGACAGAAAAACAATAATGGAATGAATAAAAAATACTTATAACACATAAATTTTGCTTTATTAAGAGAAATAGATTTCTTATATACCCATAGTCTGACCAAATTAATGAGAGTATTAAAGCTAGTCACTCACTATGCATTCTTACAATCGCTTCTCTACATGCTTCTCTAAAATGGATTCCTCAGATTTTGCCTTATTTTGTTTTTGCAATAAAATATGTAGTGATGTTCATGCTCTTTTCAGGATAGGGTATGGGCCAATGTGGGGAAGAGCCTGAACTGCATAATAGCTATGGTGGATAAACTGATTGAAAGAGACAGCAGCAGCGAAGAGGGAGCAAAGGACCCTTCTCTAGTGGACTACATCATAACTCATCCAAGGGGTAAGGAATCATTTTTTCCCAGTCAATGTGACTGAGTAAACAAAATGAGAAAGTCATGATAAAATGAGATAGAGAAAGAGGAGTCAGTAATGCCTTTGACAAAAGTGCTGATAGCATGCTTTTCTACTGCTCTGGCTCGGATGATGTAAAGCTATTTATCAAATTGCATCTCAGTTATGTTTTCAGAATTGCTTGCAATGCTCATTTTTTTTCTTTTGCTACATAAAAACCTTCTTGGAAGAATACTGTTTTCTTTCAAAGAATCTGACATAGTTTAATCTACTTTTACACATTCCTTCATAATTTTATTAAGAAGAAAAGCAAGCATCTGCTCTTAAAACTCTTAGAAACTTTGAAGGCTCTCAGGACACAGTATTTCATAATTTCCTGAAAAGAACGCAATGTGATAAAATGTTTGTTGCGTTATTCTGAGAAATGTTTTTGTGAATTATCTTAAAAATGTATAAGGTTTGACTCCACATAAGCAGAACATGTTTGTACATTATTCCAAAGACACACATTGTCTCAATTTTCATGGATATGTTTATACACACACATGCATATGTAAACATATATGCATGTAGATAGATACATAGATAGGTACTTTCAAATGTTTTACTTATAACAAGGGTGACTAACAAATATGATAATCAAAATTTTAGCTACATTTGTGACTCTATAAATGGCTATTTTGTTAATTTGATTTACTTTGACAACAAAACCAAGACAAATATATGTATTTCTTTATGGTAGTAAGAACTACTACTAGAATTGTCCCATCCCTTTTGCTAGCTCTCTTGTGTTTGGAGACAAAAAGCAGTGTTGTCCTACCTTCTTCTTCTGAAATCTATTATTCCTTTTACTCTAAGAAAATGAGTTGTAAGAAAATATGGGCACATGAAATTAAATTCATGTTTTCTCAATTTATTTCCCTGATTTTTCATTACTCACATTTTCATTAGGAGTTTAATTATGTTTAACATCAATCTTTCATCACTTGGTTAATAGTATAACCATTTTAAAATTATATTTGCAACTATAGCTTTCTAAGGTTTTCTTCCTGTACCTGTTTCTCATCCTCTGTACTACATTCACATAGGTGGAAAGTTTACACTAATGTTCTTTGTGTTCATACCTACTTGCTCTAACTGTATATGGGGATTTTCTTTTTTAATGATATCAGTTTTATTAGCTAATGAATCTAGTCTAGTTCCATGGCTTCACATGAATCAATATGAAAACTTGTCATAACTTAAGTCATAAAGAAATAGTATACTTAAATTTTCTTTAATTAAACATTTATTGACTATCAAATATGAGCCAGACACTATGTTTCACTCTGGAAAATGAGGTAAAGAAGAAAAATCCATTTTAGTGACTTACTCTGTCTACTGATGAATTTTTAAGGCATAATTTTTTTAGCAGACATAAGATAAGGGATATTGGATTTTGCCACAGTTTTTTGTTTTGATGTTTCTGAAATCTTCTCATTGACAAGAATAGTTCCAAAATATTGGAATTATGTATTTTATCCATATCTTATATTTTATCAGAAGATTGTATCTGTGTGATCAAAATTACATGTAAAAAAAGTAAAAATATTTGATAGTTAAGTCATTTTCATTTGAATGTAGGCATTGTTTGGATATAGTCTGAAACCAGGTAGAAGATGATTGGCTCTGTGGATGGTTAGAGTCAAATTATACCATAGTGCCTCTAATTGATTTTATTACTTCTATTTTATAATTCATGTTTATTCCATCCATTCTTTTTTGCATTGTAAATATTTTAGGAGATAAGACACTATTTAAATGTGTAAAATAAAATATATACTTTGGTTGAAAATTATTTAACATAGTATTGTCAAATCATTTCAAAGTCAACATTTTACATGTTGGACAGTTATATACAGCATACATGCTTTGGAGACGGTATTGGTACATAACAAACAGGCTTAACATACACAAACAGATGTTTTACAACTGAATATGTGCTTAAAAATATACTTAAAATATGGATGTTACTGCCTAGTAGGAGTGGGATTGATTAGTTTGATTATTTAATAAATATTTGTTTTTATTATGTAATGAAATAATAATAATTATTATTATTATTATAGTCTTCCTCTTAAATTAGGAAAAACGCACTTTCAGTTTCTACCCTGACTTTTGTCCCATGAAGCAATGCAGTCGAGAAATTAATAGTGGCTTTTTGAACTAATATAAAGCAAACAAATAACTAAAGGTCACATGTTCACCTGCACTATCCCTCCAACTGTTTCAGAAAAGATATTTGAGTATTACATTCACTGATGATGTGTGCCCCAATTTACCTGTATTTTTAATTTTTATTAGAAAAAAATAATAACTTAGAAATTTACAAAGAAAAACAAACAGGACTACATATTTTTATTTTCTTATTTCAGACATAAGCATTTTGAAATTTTGAACATATCCTATGTTTATAGACACATATGCACGCCAACACTGTAACCAAACTGCTGTACACATGGTAAACACACACAGAGCAGTGGTACTTCTTGATATCTTGTATATGTTATATTATGAATATTTCCTGAAAAATATTCTCTGAATATGGGATTATACTGACTATAAAGTAATTCATCAAAAAAGAAACCACTATTTTAGATATTTAATTACCATAATAAGGCAATAAACACATAAGCATCTTTGAATGTTTAAGTCTTTAACTATATCTCAGGTATTTGAGATCCCCTAAATTAGATTGCTACAAGTAGAATTATTTTATATGGAAGTGTTATCCCTTTTCTCCCTTGTATTTATTTATACAGTTATTTGTTTATATCAGCATAGACTCATGAATACTTCTTTTATTCTTTGGTTTATAATTCAATACTGACATTATAGGCATGCCCTATTCTGAAAGTTTATAGTATGCCTCTTCACTTTAATGTGAAGACCTGTGTTAGTTCCTAGCTTTGCTAACCAAAAGAAATCTCAAAAGAATTTTCACTTTTACTAAAAAAGCTATTACTGAACTAATGTAGGTCTTCAGTAAGTGTGAAGTGGTGTAATGCAAATTTTCAGAAAGGAGGAAATACTCTTTGCTTTATAGCATTTTGGCTTATGAGAGGTTTCAGAGAAACACTCTACTTTAAGATAGCAGTGAAATCTGCCCTCAGTTTGAGGTCAAATTATTCGAGAATTAACCATTGAGAGCTCTTTCAGGTCGGTTTCAGTAGCCTGCTGACAGGTTTCCCCCTACAGACTATCTACTCTCTTCTTTTCATACTTACTCCCTTTATTTTTCTTTTCCTTGAGGTTCTCAATAATGTCCATTATTTACTTATTTATTTTTATATTGAGGTACATACAATAAAATGCACAAATCTTAGTCTACAGCTTGATGAAGTTTGACATGTGAATCTACTCAAGTAACCATTCCTTACTTACTTTCTTACTTTTTTCCTCCCTTACCCTTTACACCATGAGGTTCTCTGGGCTCATTAGTATTTGTCCTGCCTCAACCCTAGATTCCATCATTTTTCCAAGGAACCCTGGTTTCTTTCATTTGAGCACAGCATTTAGAAACCAACATTTGGATGGATAGGAACATTTTGACCGTTCTTTTTAATAATAGGTACCTCACCAGCAGTATCTATAACCTCTTAACTACAGTCTTCCCAGTCTTAAATATTTTCACTGATTTCATGCCACTTTAGGTGCAAAAATATCATATTGTAATTACTGGTCATCTGTGAAGTTTGATATTATATAACTACATCTAAAATATTATTTTTGATAATGAAATCTATTTCTTCAGAAGCCCCAAATTTATCCCCAGGCCATAGTTGAGCTGGAAAGGCCATTTCATAGTTTTCTTTTTATGATTAACTAATGAACTGATTCAGTAAACAATTTGAGTCATCTCAGATTTATTTCAGTGTATGATGTGATAAATACTGATAGGCATTTGTTTCCACATTATTATAGTGATTCTTTTCCATGTGTTGTATTGGTTTTGTGTTTTTCTTTATAAATTAAGTTCTGCAAGTATTTTTAATCAATTTATGGGATGTTTATTCTATTCATATGGTTTTTACTATTGTGTTTTACGTTGGGATACATTTTGAAATTTCATAGGGTAAGTCAACCCTGTGACAGAATTTCTTTTCTCATCACCAGTTTTTTATTTTTACATATTAGCTATAATTTATGTTTGTTTTGCTCTTATATACATATAGTTATATGATTATTATTTATATATAATGGTTGAACAGATGGTCTTCTGAATTGCCACTTACACATTTTTTTATATTCCTCTATAAACTACATTCTCCTTTTCAAGTTGCAAATTTTCCTTTTCCAGTGTATTAATTTAATAATGTTTTATATCCATACTTTGGAAAGTTTTATTTATTTTAGATCCAAGAATTTAAAATATATCTTATTTCATAAATTTCTTTTCAGGATTAATACAAAGAGTGCTGAGAGAAGTAGTTTTTTCTACTGTTCTGAACAAAAATAATAGAATAACTGTTTTAAACTTCCCTGGCTTATATATATTTATATGTTTTCTTAATGAACAAGACTGTCCTTTTATTCTCTGTACACTTAAACATGCATTTAAGCACTTACTGTGTGTTTAGTATACATGCCTTTAATTTTGTAATAAGGGAAGGACTCAAGGATAAAATCAGTGTATATTAGAATCTTAGATTTTGATGTGCCCTTAAAGACTGTGTAATTAAACAGAAGCTTAGCTTTAGTATCTCTGCCAAGTTTCCCCTAGATTTTGGCACACATCTCAACTGATAGAAAACCATTTTTATTTTCTAAAATGGCATTCTCCAGATGTTGATCCAAATAGTTTCCTTTAACTTTACATGGTGGCCCTGGTCTAATCCTTAGCAACAAACAAAACAAAGTTACTTCCCTTTTTCCATGTTACAGCCTAACATACCTGAAGGCAACCATCTTATCCTTTTCAAATAGCCACATTTCTGGTCATTTTCCAAA